ATTGGAATAAGAAATGCTATTCAAAAGTCATAAAACTAAATGCAAAAGAAATAGGTAGACATTTTGAAAGGAAATCAAGTTGGTAGCCTTTCTACATCAAAAGCTATTAAAATTTAAAATTTAAATTTAAAAGGGAGTTTTGGGATACTATGTAGCATTAATATATCATTCATTTTCTGGAACCATTTGAGAGTAGGTTGTTAGAGTATCACATGCCCCCCCAAGTGCATTCAGTATTTTAGTGTGTATTATCTAAGAGTAAGCATGTTCTCTTCTGCAGCCACAGCGAACTCTCAGGTAGTCTGATACTGATAAAATACTTTTTTAGGTTTTCCTTTTTATTTACTTATTTTTATTTTATATGTACGAGTGTTTTGCATACATGTGTAAGTGTACCTGTGTCATGCAATGCCCACAGAGACCAGGAGAGGGTGTTGGATCCCCTGGAACTGCAGTTAAGGATGGTTATTAGCTGCCATGTGGGTGCTGGCAACTAAACCCAGATCCTCTGTGGACCTGCCAGTGCTCTTAACTGCTGAGCCATCTCTCCAGCCCCTGATACCAATAAAATACTTAAATACTTTATATATATATATATATATATATATATATTTGCTTAATATATTTTAAATTGTATCAATGATGTCTCTTTATAAACCATTTTTTTATTCCACTATATGGAATACCTCATGTATTAGTCAGGGTTCTCTAAAGAAACAAAACTGGTAGAATGAACATATATGTATTCATTCTATATGTAGACCCACTGTGTTTAATTAGTGTTTCTTGCCTTTGCATACCTTTACTGCAGCAAGGATAACTTATCACTGAAGAAAATGGCACCCTCCTCCAAAAACCTTCAATTGTCAATAGACCTTCAGGGAGGGATGGACCTCATGGACCCCACTCTTCTCATGATGTACTGGTTAGTTTTTTGTCAACTTGACACAAACTAGAGTTACCTGGGAAGAGGGAACCTCAGTTGAAGAATTGCTTTTATCAGACTGGCCCATCTCTGGGGCATTTTCTAGACTGTTGGTGATGAGGGCCCAGCGCACTGCGTGTAGTGCCATCCCTGGGCAGGTAACCCTGGGCTGAGAAAACCTGGGGAATCAAACCAGCAAGCAGCATTCCTCCATGGTTTCTGCTTCCTGTTCCTGCCTTGAGCTCCTGCTCTGACTTCCATCAAAGATGAACTGTGCCTTGGAAGTGTATGATGAAATGATCCCTTTCCTTTTGGTTGTGTTTAGTGCAGCAACAGAAAGCAAGCTAGAACATGATGAAAAGTTGATAGGCCTGAGGTTGAGTGGGTTTTGTGCATGTAACTACAGCTGCAGTGAGTTCATGAGGGCAATGGCAGTGTCATGTCCAGGAGGCATCTCTTTGCTGCATATCCTGGTCCTCTGGCTCTTACATTCTTCCCACCTCCTCTTCTAAGCAATTTTGTGTTGAATATGGAGAAGATTAACATGGTTCCAAGGTCAAAGCTATACAAAAGGGTGTGCCTCAGAGGAGTCCTCTCCCCATTATTCTTTCCACTCCAAGAGCAACCCAGTCTAGGTAACCTATTTTATTTCTTGGTTTATTATTCTTGAATTTGTTGAATTTTAAAAAGGAAACAGATAGATATGTGTGGGTTTCTTGTTTCTCCTTTCTTACACAAAGTGAAGAGCCCTTCAGAGACAATTTTGCACAGTGCTTTTTTATTGGCAGTTATTCTATAACTGTTCATGCAGTCGGTCCTTGTTCTTTTTCACCCTTAGATATTCATGGTAGATTTTTTGTTATCCTCCCAGTCATAAATTATGGCTGCTCCTCTCCTCTTGTGAATTTTCCTGAATAAAAGTATATAACATGTGTCATACCGTAGACTTCCAAGCCCAGATTTTAAAGGGCTATGGGCTTCTGCTTTCTTACTCCTGGAAGGAGCTGCCATTCTGCGCAGAAGCTCAAGGGACACTACTGCATGGTGATAAGCCACATACTGAGTGGTCCTGGAAAGTAAGAGACCAACTCCCTCTTGTGTCAGCTGACCATGGTCAGCTGGGTGACCTCAGTCTATATCTTGTGGCTAACAAGAATCTTAAATCACAGAATCATGAAGGGTATGTTGTGTGAAAGTTAAGACACTGTTGTAGTTTGATTTTCTGTTGCTGTGATAAAACAATGACTAAAACCAACTTGAAGAAGAGTTTATTTCATCTTACATCTCCTTTGTCACAATCCACCACTGAGGGAATTTGGGTAGGAACTCAAGGCAGGAACCTGAGACACAACCTGAAGCAGAGACCATGGAGGAACGCTGCTTACTAGCTCGCTCCTCTGACTTGTGTTCAGCCTGCTTTCTTATATAACCCAGGACCACCTGCCAGGGGTGGCACCACCCACAGTGGGCTGGGCCCTCCCACATCACTCAATAATCAAGAAAATGCTTCATAGACATGTCCACAAGCCAATCTGATAGAGGAAATTCCCAAATTGAGGTTCCCTTTCCCCAGGTGTGTCAAGTTGACAATAGAAGCCAACCATGAGAAACACTAAAGTCTGAGGTGATTGGTTACAAAGCCACATAGAGCTGGAACAATATACTCCACTGTGGAGATGTCCAACCCCCACATTTACAACCACAGATAATGCTCCAGTGAATTAGTTTGTCTGTTTATATTTTTATATTATTGGGGTATATATTTCAAAGGTAAAATCTTAAAAGTGGGATTGATTGCTGAACTAATTTGTTAGTGATTTTGTAGCAATAATTTATTTTGCAGTTTTTGTGAGTCAGGAATGCAGGCACAGCTTGGCTGGTGCCTCCAGTTCAGGGTCCTTCAAAACAGTGGATCAAGCCATCTGTAGAGGCTGCAGCCATCCCAAGGCTGGGCTAGGGTCAGGTCCATTTCCAAGTCCATTCCTGTAGCCTTTATCCTTGTTGCCTGCCACCTAGAGACAGTGGCTCCTGAGTGTGAGTCTCTCCTAAGAGTGAATCACAACTTGGCAGCTAGTTTCTCTCCAGAGCAAGTACACTAGTGAATTAGAAGGAAACCAAGGCCGAAGTCACATTCTTTTGTAACCTCATCTCAGAAGAGACAGCCTATCACTTTTACATTATCTCAAGTACAGCTCACATTCAAGTGGAGTGTGAGACAAGGGCATGAATATTGAGCAACAAGAATAATGGGGTCCACTTAGGGGCCAGAGCAGTTCTCCATGCAAGCCACTTACTCCTATCTCTTTCATATCTATTCATGACTTCATATACAATTTTTTCTTAATGTGAGAAAGTTCTCTTAAAATATTTTATTTCTTTTTATTTTAATATAAAATTAAAATTAAAATTACCTGCATGTATGTAAGTGCACCTGTGTCGTGCAATGCCCATGGAGGTCAGAAGAGAGCACTGGATCCCCTGGAACTGGAGTTACACACAGTTGTTAGCTGCCATGTGGGTGCTGAGAACTAAACCCAGGTCTTCTGGAAGAGCAGCCAGTGTGCTCATAACTGCTGAGCCGTCTCTCCAGCCCCATGAGAAAGTTCTTTAAGTATTAGAAATCTTAACAGTTTTACTTATGGTATATGCTACAAATATATTTTCCAATTTCCCATTTGTTATTTGATTTTGCTAATGGTGATTTCCCATGTAACATTTTTTGAAAAAGAATTAGTCAAATGTATCAATCATTTCTCTTTCACATCTTGAATTTGAGTCCTAGTCAGAAAGTCATCCTGAACACTCAGCCTATAGGAAATTCATTTTCTATTCTTCTAGTGCTTAGAGTTGCTGGGGAATTTATTTTTGTCTCTGGCATGAGGAATGGGTCTAACCTTTTCTTCGCCAAATACCAATGCTGTTGATTGAAAAGTCAACCAATTTTTTCGTGCTAGTGATTTGAACTACCATCTTTATCCTGCCCTTGAATCTATACACTATCTGGTGTGCTTCTGGTTTCCTATTCTGTGCTGTGGGTCTGTGTTTGTATACACCACACACTTTTTAACTGGAGTCCTTGAGGAGGCATTAATATTTGGTGAGGCCAGTGCTCCTCCTGTCTCTGCCTTCTTGTGTTTTTCTATCCATTTTCTGCATGCTTCTTATTGCATATTAATTTTAGCATAAGCTTATTTAGCACTGAAAAAATGGCTGTTGGTATATTTATTGGAATTTCAATTAATTAATAAATTAGCTCATGGTGAACTGAAATTCTTGTGATGCCAAGAGCAGAAGTATACTTAATTTTTTTTTAAAGTTGATTTTATTTATGTGTTATTGTGTGCACCTGCTTGTCTCTATCACATATGTGCAGGTACCTTCGGAGGCCAGAAGAGGGCATAGGATCCCCTGGAACTGGGGTTACAAGCAGTTGTGAGCCATCTAATGTGGGTGCTGGGAACCAATCCCTGGTCCTCTGCAAGAGCAACAAGTGTTCTTACCACTGAGCCGTCTCCCCAGCCCCAATCAAGAGCAGACATACTTTTTGCCATTTGTACAAGTTCTGTATGTGCTGGGTGTGTTTCGTAGTTTTCTTCTTATACTTTCCAATGTTCTAATTAAAAATTATGTAACTTTAGAGAAGTTCCTTTATCCTTTTGGATTTGTCATCCATAAAAAAGGAGATCATAATATATTTTGTAAAGAATTGTTAGGAAAAGTGAGGTTAAGTTGCAACACAAATGCTGGTAAATCATGTTTCCTGGTAAATCATGTTTCCTAGCTCCTTCCCTAGAAACTCCTGCTTGCTCTTGGAGGGAAAGAGCAGAATCATGCCTCAAACATGTCTAGGAAGAACATGGTCTACATCAATCAATAAGTCACTTACTACCATGTACCAGGGGCTGCACAAGTTGCTAGGGGTACAATGGAGGGAAAATCAAACAGGATTCTTGCTCTCATAAAGCCTCTGCCTAATGAACATTCCCCATTAATCACATAGGAATAGAGAAAAGCAAAATGGAAAGGCAGTTAGCAAGTGAGGCCCTGGCACTCACCAGATTTTCAAATTGCCCAGCAGAGTGAAGTGAAAGCCCTTGATTCCAGATCCCAGACTGGCTCATCATGAAAGCAAATGCAACCTACCATCAGCAAGAAAGAAAGGGGAGGTAACACCTGGAGATGGCAACTGGGAGCAGTGACTGTGAAGAGACCTACCGAGGCTGAGCTGGGCCTGGAATCTCAGGCTAGGGCCCTTTCCAGCAGACACCCACTGCCATTCTATTTTCCATCTGTACCTCTTGTCATTGTCACGTACTATCAGAGTTTCAGCTGTCCATGCCAGACGCCTGGGAACACTGGTGAGAAAACAATTTCACATTCCCAGGCAAGACCCAGTGTCACTGGAGTCATGTCACAAGGCTGCAACTTGATCCATAAAGAGGGCAACTTAGCAAGACAGTGCTGATTGGAAAAAAAAGTAGGATATTAATTTGAAAGAGGAAGGCAAGTCTCTCTAGTAGAGTTATTATAATTTTGTAATCAAAGAGTCTTTGTGTGACTTGTCTAGATTGATTTTGGTGAGCTTTTTCTTATTTCTTTTAAAATATTTCATTATTTTTATTTTATGTGTATGAGTGTGTTGCCTGCATGTATGTGAGTGCACCTGTGTCATGCAATGCCGCAGAAGTCAAAAGAGGGCTTCGGATTCCCCTGGAACTGGAGTTAAGGACAGTTCGTAGCCACCATATAGGTGCTGGGAATTGAACCTGGGTCCTCTGCAAGAGCAGTCAGTGCTCCTAACCACTGAGCCAACTCTCCAGCCCATTATTTCTGACTTTTAAAATGAATATTCTAGAACGTTCCTTGTAGAGTCTATAGAAAAAAACTGTTTTCTTTGTCTTTATTAATAGAATCCCAGTTCTAATGGGAGCAAATGGCTATCTGGAATAAAGACTACATTTCCTTCATTTCTATTCTAGTTACTCTTCTATTCTTGTGACAGAAAACTGATCAAAACCTATTTGAGGAGGGAAGTGTTTATTTCAGCTTACAATATAGTCCTGCATCAAGGTAAGCCAGGGCAGGACCTCAAACAGAACCTGGAGGCAGGAACTAAAATGAGCATGTGGAGGTGTGATGCTTACTGGCTGCTTCCCCTGATCTGTGCTCAGCCTTCTTTCTTACACAACCCAAGACCATCTGCCTATTGGTGGCACCACCCACAATGGGCTGGGTTCTCCCACCCCACTCACAAAAATGCCTCACAGACATACCCAAAGGCCAGCACAATAGAGAAAATTCCCCAGTTGAGGTTCCCTCTTCCCAAGTATGTCAAATTGACAACCGAAGTCAACCATGACAGTTTCCAAAGAGGGATAGCTATTTCAGCCCTGTGGGAGGTCAAAGAATTGATAGGTCCAACTTTCAGAAAGTAACTGAGAGGATAGAGGTTACTTTCTGAAACTTTTTTCTCTCTTTTTTCCCTCCCTTTGGTTAGAATATAGGATTGACAAACAACCAGGGACCACACGTTATTTAGCATCAAGACCACATACAATTTAACAAAGGATTAAATTTTAAAAACCTAGGATATCCTGAGACTTGTGTAATTTTTGGATAGCTCTCTGATGTTTTGATCTAAGGCTAGAATGTCTCTCACAGTGACAGAAAGAAGTCTCACCTCACAGGTGTTGTGAAGGCCCCCATGGCTCTTATCTGCCTGGATTCCTTTTCTGCTGACTTTAACAATGCCGTCTCAAGTTTTCTTTGAGCAACGGCCCCTTCTTCCAGTCTTAGTAGAAATATTGAGTTACGTGACCTTCCCTTAAAGACAGACCAATTGAACTTTGAATTTGAACGGAATCTGAATCTTGGACAGTATAACTCAGACATTAAGAATTCCAGAGTGGATATGTCCCAGAGGTGTTAGCAAAGAAATTTCCTTGGTAAAAAACGTTAGCCAAGAAATAGAGCAGGGGGCTAAAAATAGAAAATCACTATTTAGAGCTGCCATAATCCTGGATCTAAGCAAGAATCATCATCAGTGGATGGTGATGAAACCACTGCATGAAAAAAGAAGTTGGAGAACAAGGTATTCATCCACTCAAAGATTACTCACAGCTACAAGGGTAGAATTGCCGTCTTCACACTGGTGAGATCTGGAAGATTCCACTCCTCAGATGATCAAACAAAGCATCATCAATGATAGAACATCCATAGCCCAGGCTGTGAGGCAGTTGGAAGACATTCATTTCACCTATGTAATGTCCACACCAAGCAGAGTGACCTGAATCCAATCAGGAAGAAATGGCCAGGTAACTCTGACTCCAAACCAAGGGACATTCTGCACTCATATCCTCCACAGGTCATTGTTGTGACAGACCAGAAAGGAAGACAGCCAGGTAAACCAAAGTCCCTGGGGAATTAGTCTAGAAGAAAGGAGACTAAGAAAATAGGATAGCTAAAATGCACTATTCTTGATAGGATTGTGGAAAAACAAAGCAAATATAAAGGTCGGCTTGGGGACAATTGGGAAATTTGCATATGGACCACGTTAGATAGTAATGCATACTCTGTGAGTGTTAAATTTAGGTTATATGGAAGAATATTCTAATTTCCTTGCTCTTGGGATAACTATGTTGAAGTCTTTTGGGGCAAAGTATCATGAGGCCTGTGTATACACTGAAATGGACACCCATACATCACATAAGCGCTCCCGGCACCCACCGTCTCAGGTTTCTGTGCCTTCTGCTCCATTCTAGCTCTTCTCTGAGATTCCTCACTGGCTTTGCAGCTGCTGGATCCACTCAGCACTTCCGAATGCTTCTCTTAGTCAACTTCGCCCTGACTTCTGTAAGACTGACAGTCCCTTTCTCAAAACTCTCTGCGCTCTCTATTTCTATGACACGGCCCATTCCCCAACTTTACCAAGCTCTTAACAAATGGAGACTGTAAGAGAGCCTATCCTATCCACCTCTTTTCTCACTCATCTCCTTTACCACATTTTTGTCCGGATGCACAAGCCAGTCTAGGTCTCCCATAGACTGCCATGTTCAATCCTTGCTGCTTTACATCTCAAGGCTGTTAGTCTAACGTGGGCCTCTCCTTAATCCCTGTTCCACAGTTCCTTAAACTCCAGCTCATCAAGTTCTTCAGTGAGGTTTTTCCTGCTCCAACCTGATCCAGAAGGTACTGCCTCTATCAGCATGTTTCCTAACTGACTGTAGGATATCCTCTCCTTCAAGCAAGAAGCTAAGACCTTTCTCTCTTGTTTAACCTTCCCTCATGACTTGGGAACGTCCTAAAATTAGTGATGGTATGTGATACACAATCATGCTAGTGTAGACACGAATGTCTGGCACAGAGGCAGCACTTCAGGGTCATAGATGAATGAATGGGTGAATTGTCAGTAAAGGACTATACGTTTAATAATGATAACATCAATGACAACAGCAACAGTGCTATTGATAACAAGCCCTTACAGAGCACTAATTCTGTGCCAAGCGTTGCACAAATTGCTTTTACCTAAATTATTAAATCCCCAGAAGAATCATGGGGTATTAGCTCTAATAATAGACAATCAATCTTGAGTTATTACCACGTGTCTAAGCATTTTGCATGTAGTTACTCATTAAGCCTTACAAGTGCTGTATGAATAACAACACAGTTATTTTCTTTTGCTGATGAGGAGACTGGAGTTGGATCTAATGAGATAGGCAGTTATTTGCTGTAGGTCACATATCTAGTAAGTGGAGGAGCTGGGGTTTATCTCCCTAAAGTCATGGGTGGACTCTAGACTCCATGCCTCCCAGAGCACTTGTTAAGATTTAGAACAGCTGTAACTACACAGGGTAGTTTTAAATGCTCAGTATAGTCACTGTGAACAGTTCTGAACTTCAAGCACATTAGGAGGGATGGAAAGCAAAATTATTCATGGGCCTATGTAGGCAGCACTTTTGCGTCACCTGTTACTTAAACTCAGATGCAATGGTAACAGTTTTGGTTGCACCCGTTGAGAGACAGGCTACACAATAAAGCATCTTAGCACAAATAAACACTGACGACATGGCCAAGAGAGCCTTGGAAAAATCATGTGCCTGGGTTCCTAAGTTATAATCCTCTAGTCCAGGGCTTGAAATTCAACCTTGCTGACAATAAACAATAGACTAAACATTGTAGGCTCACACCCATGCAGAGGACTGGCTGTGATAGGAGGCCAGCTTGCTGGCTTCAGTCTCTGGTCTCTTGCATACTGAACCTGGCAAGTTCACACTCTGTTCATTCTGCACGTGTGCTTGAATCATGGACCTCAGGGTGGACCCAAGGCTTGTGGTCCCCCAAATGTACAAACTTTGGGAGGTAGAGTCAGACAGAAGAAGCAGGAGACACAGATGCAGAGGCAATGTCTGAATCTTTCAACTTGGGGCTTGGATTCACACTCTGAGATTTGTTCCCTGTGTGAACTTGGACAAGTTTCTCAGTTTTCTTGCCCCCCCCCCGTTTTATCATCTACAAACAAGAGCAATGGTTTCCACCTCACAGGCATAGGAGGATATGACTGTGACGCTCAAGTGATAACAGAAAACATTTATGTGTGCTTCCTATGCCAGGCACTGTTTTAAGCATTTTAAAACATGTATCAATTTACCTACTCTTCCCAAGAACTTTATGAGAAAGGTAGGTGAAAATCAATAGTCTCTCTTGGGACACCAGGGACTGGAGAACCAATGCTGGGAGTGCTCAGCGCACTGACTGGCCCACACAGTGGGTACATCTTGAGAAAGCTAAGCCTGACCTGGATGCCAAACCCTTGCCTCTACCTCTGAGAAGGTGGGCTCACTCTCCAGAGTCAGACAGATGCTGATCTTAGCAGCTTCTCCACATAACAGCTGGATTACCTCAGGCAAATCACCTAACCTCTCCGAGCTATGCTTTCCTCATCTGTATCATGGGGGATAATCCATTGAACTAAGAGGTAGCAATGAGGATAGCTACCTAGAGAGTGAGTGGAACTTTAATGAGTGCTCAGCAATGAATCGGCTATTGCTATCATCATTATTTTAACTAAGACGTCCCAAATATGGGAGTCTATATTGCAGCCCCACTCTTGCCTCAGGCCAGCTTTAGTGCAGGTCTCAGCCCTCTTTGTACTCCCCAGAAAAATACTCATCTACACCAAAGATGAGTTTACTGGGGACTTTATGGAGAAGCAGAGGAGGCAATTCTTAGGACACATACCAGAAGAAATACATGGACTCCTCCTTTGGCATCTCTCTCCTGAATTCGTTTTTCATGCTGCATCTGAACTAGCCCATCTCTGCCCGCGTGGTGCTCCAGAGTTCTGCTTTTGGTCTGCCATTATCTCTTTGGGCTTTCATGCTTAGCTTAGTTCTTGACCAAATTTCACATCTAAACATGCGCAACCTATTCAAGAAACCAAAGTGATTCCACTAGCCAACCATTCCTTTTTAGAAGAGTTTAACTAACCTCCAGTATCCTGTCAGAGTTCCCTATAAATACACAGTGGAAAAGTGTCTGCTAAGTACAGTTCTGTCTTACTCTATTATTA